TGTCCCAGTCTTTCTCAGTGGGAGGGGCACTGGTTTCATATAACTGTATCCAATATAATTCTCTGTGCCAGAATTTCTCTGTAGAGGCTCTTGGTCAGCCAAGTTGTATGAATTAGATCTCCTGGAAATAATGGGGGTTTCCTATACTGAAAACATTTACTTAATGTTTCCTTATTTAGTTTCTTACTCTGGAAGTTTTTAACCTGCTACAATCCTTGCTTCTGATGGTTTAAAGAAAATGATTTTTTTTTTTTTTCCTTTTCATTCTGGATGGTCTTCAGGATATTTATACAATACAAAGAAGACAGGTAACATTGCAAAGTAAGTATTCGGTTTCTGCTTTAGCTACTAGGACAAACTAGGCTGCAGAAAGAACATGTCAGTAATGCTGACTGCTCCACCACATACTTTGACTTTTTTTGATCTCAAGTTAACAGGAAACATTCCAAAAAGAAATTAATAAATCCTGCTACTTATCATTAGTTAGTAAGCAAAAATGAGTATGACTGTCAGTTCAGTACGTCGGGGAGCATGGGAACTTCAAGTGTGGGTTGTCTCGCAAGTGGAAAAATGATTCACTATCAGTCAAGTTTAAAAAGTGTCTTTTTGCATATTTTACATTTTTTCCAGTGAACTGGTTGATTTAGCTACCTGCTCTTCTGTGTTTCTATTGTGTGTTGGGGTTTTTTTCAGTTTAACAGTATAGCTTTTACTCTTGTGTACAGCTTCATTGCATATTGGAGACCAGAACGTTCAGGGAACCATAATGCCCTGGAACATGAGATCCATGCAGAGGATAACATCTATATAATACACTAAGGACTGGATGCATGCTTGCCTTTCTCATCGCTGGGACATTAAATAGTTTGCAAAGTGTTAGCTGCTCCCTCTGCTCAGCAGGTAAATGTGACTGGACTACTGAAGCATTATTCACATCATTCTAATAAAACAAATAAAAGCTATACTTCTAACTAAAACCTATCAGCATGTTCCAGAAACACAAACCCTACTGGCTTGAATGGAAATTTCCAGAATCCACTTATCAAACCCTGACAAAAGTTACCATCATATTTATTATCTGCTTTAAATTCTCTCTTCCTCTTTGGAAAAAAGAGGAAGTGCCAGAATGGCTACTGCATCACAAAAACGAAACCACACATGTTTTTTTATGACAGCCCCACCAGACAAAACCCCTGCAGTTTGTCTTCACTGTGTATTGTATCTGCAAGCTACAAAAGAGTCCATGCCATCAGAGGGCAGAAGCACACTCATACCTGCCATGACAAAGGTGACACATGAAGAAACTTGGTAGTTTTATTATTTTGATATACATTTAGTTGAATTTTCATTAAAGTAGGGTATATCCAGTCCTGGTAACAGCTTGGTAACGCAGCATACTAATTCCTGGCCGCCCACAGTTAAATCTGGGGCAGCTACTGACGTTGACACTGCTGTGAGCTGTCCCTGGAGCATACAGGATCCATGTTCAGAATATTCACAACTTGTTTACAGAGAACTATGACTAAGTGTGTTTTCTTCTGCAAAATACATCGCTTTTTCTGTGACTTTCTCCTTGGCCTTCCTATGCACTCAGAAGTCCTCGGGGTGGAAAGTCTCACTTCCAGGCCTTGAAAACCACTGAACAAAATACAACTGCTTTGTAAAGTTAGTTAAATTCTTACTTAGCTTGTGGAGAAGTCAGGGACATTGCTCAAAATACTTCCTGAAAGTTTGCTCTTCCTTTGCACCCCTCAATACCAAACAACTCTAATGTGTTATGCTTGGTTTGTTTGATGGCTTTTAGCTCAGAATTGGGGAGTACCTGTGGCCTAGCACTTTTCCTCCATTGGCCTGTTAGACATGGCTCTTGGCTTTTATTCTCTGCAACACTAAACTTTGGTTTACTTGAAGTACAAAAATGGAGGTGGCCCCATGAGTATCAACAGACGCTTTATGTACTGATGAGCAATAGACACAACTCAAAACAACTTGAAGTGGAAGAATAGTTTTCCCCAGTCATTTTTAAGAACCTATTTTTTAACAGAGGCTGGGGGCTTCCTGGAAGAGCAGATAAATAGTAGAGGCAAATGTACTTACCAAATATTGGTCAGTACAGACTTTGTCCTGAAGGTCATCCTAAGCAGCAATGTGGAATACCTAAGGAAAACATTGCTGCCAAAGGGAAGACTTGCAGATTTGCTGCAAACTTTCTATTATTCAGTTCATAATTTTCAAGGGAGTCACGTGAAGAGCAAAGCTGTATTACTCAATGAGGCATAAAGGAGCAATAATAAAGTCAGTAGGTATTTATGTTAACAGCTGAGACACTTGAGGCCACGGTCTGGTGGTGCTTTAAGGGAGCTGGGGTCAGTGGAGCAGTTTCCTGTCCCTCCCCCCTGCCGGTAGAGATGGGAGGGCTTTCTCTCAGGTGTCCTGCAGAGCTGAGCTAAGGTGAGATGCTGCAGGTGAGCATGCTTGCAAAGACTCATGAGGGAAGGAAAGGCTCCTCATCCTGTTGAGGAAGGAAGAACTGGAAAGCAGGTTGGGATGGGTGAGTCTGCTGTGCTCTGTATTTTCACTTGAGCTGTGCATTGTCTTGGGGCTGTCTGTTGGAGCAGGCCTGAAAGGTTGAAAATGTGGAGGTGAATTTGTGCTTGACTGAATAGCTCAGTGTGGGAGCATAGACATTAGGTGGTTACTGATCCCCAGGCCAGGGAGGGTGGTGGAGGAAACCAGCTCTGTTACTTTCTGTCTTCATGTCACATGTTGCCTTGTGTGAGAAGGTACCAAAACTAGAAAGAACCTGCTAGTGTTACGACTGTACTTTGTATTTTGCTATTCATAACAATCACTAAACTAAACTGACTGACCCTGCTGCAGACGCTGCTGTGGTTTTTGCCCGTGACCAGAGCTGGAGGAAGTCTGATCTGGTCTCTGAACCAGATCTCAGAAACATCTTCAGCAATTTCCACTTTTGGTGACTTTTATCAAATCAATCTCTACTGGGATCAAAGTTAGACAAGTGTGGGGTTTCCAAAATTATCTTATTACACTCTTGCTCTTAAGGAGTCTGAGGACCATTCTTGAAGGATGCTAATCATGAAAGCTGCATGCCCATAAGGATTTTTTTTCTTAATATTGCAGACTAATTCAGACTAAATCTTTCATCAGAGAGTTTTTATGAAAAATTAAGTTCTAGTGTATCTGATAACCAAAACTTTGATTAAAGTTTCTTTTCTGCTGTGCAGTTACTCTGTAAACAGACTGCAAAGGTTGTGTGGAGTGAGAACTTTGCCTTGTATATGCAGAATACAACATACAAATACATGCAGGCAGAAGCTGCTTGTACTCTTTCATTACTTCCACTTGTGTTAATGGATCTTGGAACAGGCATTTCAGAATGAGCCCCAGAGATGTGCAGGTGGCACTAGGAGCCCATTCACCCATTAAGAGATTGTCCAGCTGCACACAAACTGGCAGCACATTGAGTGTCATAAGGCTAACTGACGAGCTGCAAGCTGGTTTTTTGAGACCACTCTCTGCCTTTCCTTTTCTGCCTGCAAGAAGCCACTAGATAGCAGTGCAGAGGCAGAAAGCAAGCCACGTTTTTCTGATTCTTCCCAGCACACTTGGATTTTGGGTGGCCTTTTCCAATTCACCCTGCTGCATTTAGTCCAGTCTTGCTAAAGAACCAAAGGTGACATGCTGCTCTGTTCATCCTTTTCCTTCCCTAATCACCAGCAACGTGCCGACCAATTCTGCTTTGGCAAGCTTCATAGAAATTGGTAGCTGGATAAAAATCTAAAATTGTGCCCCAGGTGGGATTCCGCTGCTCCCTGTGCTGCCATCAGCTGCGCATGGGCTCACAGCCACCGCTTAATGGTGAGCGATGGGAAACAAAGGAGAAACTAGGATCACGGCAGGGAAAAAGTCTCCAGGATATTGGACACATCAGGTTTCATTAGTTCCGTTCACAGCTGGGGCTGTGTTTGCTTCGCATCCTATGGACTGTGCCTGGTGGAACATAGCAAAATAAATGTTTTACTGATTGCTAGGTAACCTGCCTTATAATGTTGACAATAAGACACTGCTGTGTCTGTCCCCATCGGTTGCTGTTGATGCTGCACTGAAGCATGTGAGGGTACAGAGCAGCATTGATTCAGAATAAACTCCGAATACTTCTCTGAGCGTCATGCTGCTTGAATCTGCCACGAAGTTGGCTACAGCAGCATCAGCTGGCTACATGATGGTGAAAGAAACCAGGCATTGCTGGAGCCCAGTCTATTGGGGATCTACTTCTTGCCACTGTAATGCAGTGGTGGTGTGATGGATGAGGATACTAATGAGAGGTAGCCTCCTACTCCAGCATACTACTGAATCCAACAGGTCTGCAAGCACAAGAGTCCTTCTTTCATGCTGTGTTGGGGTTGGGCAGGTGTTGAACAGGTAACCCCACTCCAACCTTCTTGTGCTACTGAAGATTTTGTAGACCTGCTCATGGTGCCCCTCAGGTTAGCTCTTTTCCAGGCTGATTCATCCTGGATGACCTATCTAACCCTCCTGTGGAAGTTCTTCCATGCTTTCCACCTTTCTTTTTGCCTTTTCTGGAACCCTTTCTGGATCTACCATATCCTTTGAGGGGACTAGAACTATACATAATATCTAAGGCAGATTTGTACAGTGGTGTAATGCTGTCTTCTGCTTTGTTTCCTATTGCTTTTACTAATAACTGCTAAAATGAGATTTGCCTTTTTTAATGCTACTAATGCAAAATTGTGGGGCCCAGAACTGCACACAGTACTCAAAGTGAGTCCGCACCATTGCTAAATATAGCAGGACAATCACCTCTTTTGACCAGCTTCTATCCGGAAGTAGTTGCAGTACATAAATCTGGAAATGGAGAAACGAGACTCCAGTGGGACTCACTCAGCATCTCTGCAAAGTGTAACATTTAGTTTTCTCTCCTTCCACTTGCTGCCCTGGAGTCTCCATCAACAAAAATGTCCCATTTTGCACTGTTTCCCTGGATTATGATACAGATCTTCATAGGTGAGTCTTCACCTGCTTTTTGTGTGCTTTCTCAGAAAATAAAAAATTAGTAAATTTAAAGCCAGCAATACTTGTTTTCTCAAAACAAAACAGTGAAAAGATTGTAATTGTATTCAGAACTTCAAAAGTTTTCTTAACTTACTAAGTTAATACTGATTGAGGATTTTGTTGGGTTTTGTTGTTGTTGTTTTGTTTTGATTTGATTTGGTTTTTTTTTAAATTGTATGTAGAGTCCTCTGTGTATAGACAGTTAATTCCTCTGTCCCCCCACATGATCTAATTTCTTTTCTGCTGTTAAATGTGTACTGCTGGCTTTGCTGCTTCATCTCTCTCTCCATGATGCTACAGTACTGACACAGCCCAAGCTAGGGAATTGAAATGTTGACAGAGTAATGAATGTATAGACATGATAAAGGAAGGGTTTTCTGAAACTGTAGATTGTCTGCTGCTACAAACTGAATATGGGAAAGCATGGCTGGAGATTCCTCTCCTTTTACTCCAAGATGTTCAGTTCGCCCATCTAAAATCTGAGTCCTAAAGGAGATAAAAGTCAAAGAAGAGTAACTTGTGAGACAGAGTCTTGCAAGTCTGGTTGGTATCAGCTGTATTTCTGCACGCTTATTTAGGCATCAGCAATGCAGTTTCCAAATTGCCTGAGATGGCTAGGGAATGTGGGTTCACCCACTTTCAGTGCACTAGGGGAAGTTTAGTTAGGATATGAGGAAAAATTTCTTCACTGAAGGAGTTGTCAGGCATTGGAACAGGCTGCCCAGGCAGGTGGTTGAGTCACCATCCCTGGAGGGATTTAAGAGGCGTGTAGATGTGGTGCTTAGGGACATGGTTTAATGATGAACTTGGCAGTGCTACGTTAACGGTTAGGCTTGATGATCTCAAAGGTATCTTCCAACCTAAAAATTCTATGATTCTAACAGGAGTTGTGCTGTTAAATCAGTTACGCATTTAAGGAAATTCTGTCTCAGATGGCTAAATATTAATTGGCTAACCTCTGCCAGAAGAAATATTCTGCACAGCAACTGCAATGTTCTTAAATTGATCTGAAAAGCAATGGAAAGTTTTGTTCAGCAGTGAAATACATTTGGGGCAAGAGATGACTTGTGCCCCATTGAGGCAAGGTAACAGTTGTAAAAAGAATGTCTTTTTGTTACCTTCTCTTTAACTAGGCTCAGTGCTGACAATGGGTAGTCTTGGGACTCGGGAAACCAGCAGAGTGGGCAGTTAAATGCTTCTTTTCTGTTTATCAGTCATTTTCTCTGCAATTTCGTCAGTACAGAATCTTAAAGAAGAAATGAAAAAGAAGAGGGTTGATAGGGAAAGGATGCCAAGTGTCTTCCTCAAAGAAGGAAAATTATTCCAGAAATAGGTCAAGAAAAAAAAATACCTTCTCAACCAGCCTTCTTGGCTGGAGGATGGCATGTCTTTGTCCATCCAATGACCAGTCTACGGGAGACAAGACCACTACATCAGCAACTATTGGAGCTACTGCCTAATAGCAACTGTCAATAAGGGTTGGTTCAAGAGAGACTATATATAAATATGTGTATTTCTCTATGATATGAGCAGTTATGAGCATCCCTTTCTATTCTGGAAGATGTATTATACATCTGCAGTCCATTTCTCCCTCACGTGGATTAAACAGAGTGGCAAACCTCACAGACTCCAGTGGGACTACCAGGCATAGCTGATGCTCAGGGTGCATTGGGTCAAATCTGGATGCCTAGGAGGGACACTGTCATGGACAAGGGTAGGATTCCTCCCACAGGAAGACTAGGGTGTCACAATATAACAGTCTCAGGAACCTTCTAATTTCAAAAACTTAATTCAGTCCTATTTACTATTTCTTTTGGAAAATGTGTCTGTGGAAGAGGCTGCAAGTGATAAGGAAGTGATTTAGCCTTTGCAGAGGTTCATATTGTTGAATCCAAGCTGTTGCAGTATTGAAGCTTTCCATACCAACCTGCAGTGCAGGCAGATGTTAACAACATTAACTCCACAAAAATGAAAAGAGGATTTGAAACTGCAAAACCTGTAACTTTCTGGTGCCAATACTGGTGGGAAACTGCATTTGAGACACTCTGGTGTCTTGTGTCTTCCCTTTTCTTCTTTTTGTTTATTTATTTAGTTTTAATAAGCTTGAGGCTCTGCTTCTTTTGAAGAGAAGAGCAGGCAAATTTTCATTTGTTAATGGATCACCCAATGAAGCTGCTATTGTGCTGTGGAGGACTGGAATGAAATAACAACAGAAGATAAGCACATTTCTCCTCAAGAAGCAGTGACCTTAACTCCAGAAATAGTTCAAGCTGGTCTTTGTTTTACACACATCTTTGTTGGGGTGACTTGAAAATACGTGTTAACTCACTCCAGTGAAGTTAACACTTATCCACCCCCTGCTCCCCTGGGGATACTTTCAACTGGATGAACTGTTTTGTTCTGCTGTCACATAGAGTCTGTTTTCTGTTTGTTTTGCTGTAACAAGGCAAACAAACCTACCCTTTCCAAGGACTATAACAAGCAGCGATCTTGTAAGGCCTTATCCTGTGTTCAGGAATTCATATTTTGGCACATCCTACCTTCATTTCACTGCAAAAACTTCTGCCCTTCACACCATATTGCATGTTGTTTTGTCTGCCTCTACTTATTTAGCATTTGGAGCTGTGAAAACCTGAACGAGTTGGCTTATCATGCCAATGGGATAAGCAATAATGAAGCTGAAATGTCATCCCAATAACAAGCTGGAAGGCAGACTGCCACAGACTAAAACCTCACCTGGGGAATAGTCCATTAAAGGCAAAACAAGAGAGACATGGACACAGTTGGAAGCATGTGTTTGCTGTCTGAGTCATGCCAAAAAGAAAAGTCATTCAAACAGCTGGCAAAATAGGAATGTTTGGCAAACCAGGGCCAAAGCTGGTGATAATAGCAGCAACTGCTCCTAGTCCTCTTTGGGGTAAGAAAGCTGGCCATGAGACATCAGATCTATGGGATGATCCTCTTGCTACAGCAGACAATCAGATCTGGATGCTCCCCAGATCTGCTCCACCATATGTAAATGTTAACACAGGGGGAAAAGGCAACAAGGTAGGAGGACTGACACGGACTAGAGGAACATAAACCAGAGAAGATTTGTTCCTTCATGGGAACCTATTTTTGAGAGTGCTTTTCACGAAGAAGAAATTCCTTTTAGGGAAATCTGGGAACTGCACAGACAATTAAGAGGGAACAGTATGTAGCAAAGGTTCAAGCCAGCTGCTAAGGTGGGTATTGACTGTAAACACCAAGTTAAGCTGCTCGTTAAGAATCAGAGCACAAGGAAGGCATGCATACGCTCTTTTAAACATCAGTGTAACACTAGCAGTTAAAGTTCTGTGTACACAGTGCTCTGCAAAGTAAGAGGGATAGTTGGCAGGGCTTGCTCAGAAACAGAAAAAACCAGTATGCTTTCTGAGACCTGGTTCCCATAGACCGATCCCTCATCTCTGCCAACTCAATTAGTCCCTAATTTCACCATGAATAGGTATTTTGGACCCTGCTATTGAGACTGTCAGTGAAAGGCAACGATGACCACATTTCCTTTTTTGAAGGAGATGGTGGTAGACTGAGAAAAACACACGTATTTCATACTAGGTTTCTGAACAACTTTCAAACATTCTCTTATGAGAGGAGATGGGATGGGAGCGGAGTTCCCAAACTCCATTTGCACAGGTCTAGTGTGTGCTTGGGCTGCCAGTGACAGACCTCAGCTTTGCTCACCACATTTGATGTGAGCAATGTGTTCGTGAGCATCTGGCTGGGGCCAGAGCACAGAGCCCTCCAGCAGCAGCGAGCCAACGCCTGCGAGCTCCCAGCTGTCACCCATCATGCCCAGTGACACCAGCTTCCACATGCTCCTGGGGGGGCTCAGGGGATCAGTAACCGTGGCCTGCCTGTGGGCAGGAGCGTTTCTTTTCCTGCCTCATTGTGTTGCATAGGTGGAGTCACACATCAGAGACTGCCAACATTTGTCTTTCCTTCTTCTTCCTTGACAGCCCACACCGCATCCGCAACTGTTCTTAGAGGAGTAATAGGGCAACCTGTTCAGTTGCCTTGTTTCTACCAGGTGACACGGAATACGGACATCTCCGACATGTGCTGGGGCAGAGGACCGTGCCCAAATTCAAAGTGCAATAACAAAATTTTGCACACCACTGGGAATAGGGTGACATTCAGAAAATCTCAGAGATACAATCTCCAGGGCTATATTTCCTATGGAGATGTCTCTCTCACGATTGGGAAAGTGAAGGCAGAAGATGCAGGTACATACTGCTGCCGCATAGAGATTCCGGGTTGGTTCAACGACATCAAAAAGAACATGCGGCTGGAGGTGGTCAGAGGTGAGTCTGGGGACCTTCATGATAGACCCAGCAGGGAGAAACCTCTCACTGGATAGGATTTAAAAACTGGAGTTTATGTGCTTTTTTTGATTCTTTGTTTGTTTTGGCACAAAGTGTTTTTCCTAAATAAAGTAGTTTTCAAGGTAGGTTTGCAACCAGTTGCCCATTTGAATCACATTCAGTGAGCAGTTTTGATGACAAAATACTGACGTTTATCCTTCTTTTACATTTCAAAATATTTAATTTCTCATGGTTGTTTGAGACCTAGCAGAAGAAGAAGAAAGCAGCATATCTGTAAATCTGGGAATTGTTCTGTCTGAAGCATGTTTTCTCCTAATTAAACAACCTTTTAAAACTGTGATTCACCCACCTTCATTCTCAGTATTTTAGCAGCTAGATAATTTTTATTCATTTCTGGGATGGATTTCCTCAGGGTTGGTTGTGAAAACTATGATCTAGCTTTTCTCTTGGCTATGTTTATTTCATGCAGCCCCTCCAGTGAAGACAACCACCACAAGAAAGGCTCCTGTTTCCCCCAGACATTTTCGAAAAACAACTTTTGCTCCCCAAGCAACCTCTGATCATCAAACAACATCAGAGACTACTGTCCTCCTGACAACCACCACCCCCAAAGTTACAAGTGCAACCACTGATCATCAAACATCAGAGACTGCTGTCCCCCTGCCGACCACCATCCCCATAGTCACAACTGCAACCATCGAGCCTCCAGCAGTAATTACACTGGAGACCATTGCTCCCCCAACATTTGCTGTGACAGTAAATGATGTTTTTCCAGAAACTATGGTGACAACTGGTGCTCTCCTAGATTTTTCAACTGGTTTCCAAGCAGATGACATGATGACTGAAGATGATGACATATTCTGCCCACCAGAGTCTGTCCCTTGTCCTGGAGGTACAAATGGTAAGCAGCACCACTCCTTTCTTTTTTCTGTGTAACAGAGATGGTCTGTGTTAGCCTGACTCTGGCATCATATAGAGACTCTCCAAATACTTGTATTTGTAGCTGGGAAGTTTTCTCTGAGATGCCTATTGGTATGTCTCAGTAGGTTTAAGGAAACACAGATCAAATGTTGTGGATGATGACAAACTGGGGTGAATGGCCAAGGTAGCAGAGGGTCAGGCTTGGATTCACAGAAGTTTTAACAGGCTGGAGAAAAAATGTGACAGAAACCTCACAAAATACAACAGAAATAAATGCAAAGTCCTTCACCTGGGATGGATTAGGAGAGATACACTCAACTTTGCATTAATTTTTGTTTTCATTTGGGAAAGACAGTTGAAATGGTCTGCTGAAAAGGTTAGTTTAGAGCATGTTCTGCTTGAGCAATAAAAAGTCAGTGAGAATTCAAAACGTTTAAAATTGAGTGCTTACATTATCATCCCATAAAAAGGCTGCTTTTATTATTATTATTAAGTTGATCAGAGTGACCTATTATCATCCTAACTGTTCCTAGGTTTCCATTTTACCCACATCAATGACTTCTTTTCCACAGATTGATGTCTGCATGCAAGGCTGTTTTTTTCCACCTTTCTTGGGTCTTCTATCACTTGAAGTTCGTTCTGACCTGAACCACCAAGGACAGCTTTTCTATATCATCTCTTATCTTACAGCCATAACAACATGCCTTAACATTTTGTAAACAATTAATTACACCCACAGCTGAACAGTTAAAATATCTAACCACAGGCCATGCTACTAAAGTGCACCAGTTATCTGGGTAGGATAAACTGCAGACCTGAAAACCTAAGTGCTCACTTTCACCTCTCACTTGCAGATGCAGAACTGTTCAGGTGATTTGGAACACCATATGAAGACCCCTCCCAACCTGTGATGTTTATAAGCAGTGCTTTTTACTTTGTTTCAGAGACTACAGAATTCTCAAGTACACTTCCAACTGCAGAGGGAACTAAAAGTGCTGACACTTCTTTCATGGTGGAAGACCTGTCAGCTACAGGTGAGTATCATGCAAGGTCAGAAGTTGCATGTTCAGAGAAATTAAGCTGTCATAAACAAAAGTACTGACTATTCCTAAGAGTGTGTCAAACACATAAATGTCAATACGTGCAGTGCATCTGGAAGTAAGAGGTATCTTGTGTCTGTACAGAAATTGTTTGAAATCAGATGTAACAACAGCTGAGAAAAGCATGTTTTTAAGCCTCCAAAGGAAGTAGATTTTGAGTCACTCACTACTGTTGGGTATCTCAGGTCTGAGAGAAGTTAAGAATGGGTCTTTGTCACCATCCAAGCGGAATTCTGAGATATCTAATTTGTCATCACTGTGAGTTCACCAAGATTGCCATTTTAAATCCTTCCTGAGTGTTGTGAGCTTTGAACCTCACTGTACATGTTCAGCCAGATGTGACTGCAGCCTCAGCTCTCCCGTGCTTAACGTGTCCTTGGTCATGATGGAAAGCAGCAGGCAATTACCGCAACTCTCAGTCATTCCTTCAAGAGAAAAGGAACTGGTATACAAAATCATACGACACCTGAGAAATGAAAAAACATACACGAAGTTTTCACTTCACGTCTCTTAGTCAAGTAGAACAGCTCAAGTTATTCAGGTGAGAGAGCCTCCCCACCAGATGCCCTCAAATGAGGACTTAAAAAAAGGAAAGATAAAATTCAAGGATGACATGCCATATTTGGCTGTTAAGAGAGTCCTTTTTGTTTCAACTAGTGCCAAGAATCTCTTCATTCTAAAAACACAGTATTTAGATTTTTGCAGGTCTTCCTTTGGTAGATTTACAGCAGAAAGAGAGTTTAGGAAACTATTCCTTAATGCCCCTGGAAAGGGCTCAGAGAAGAGACTTAATTGGTCTCTTGAGCATTTGTGAGGGTTTCTCACCCCTGTCTCACTTGTCATCTCTCTGATATAGGTCTGGATAAAGCCTGTAAATAGGGATTTTTGCAAAGGATGTTACCTCTGCGATTCTGGGGGCAACTTAAGCTGTGACTGCGGGTTAGAAAGAGCCACTGCAAAAGCAATAACACCAAAAAATGTACTGTGCTTATGAGTCATGCACACTCCCACCCATGCAAAAGCTTGTGTCATGCTATTTCCAAGAGCTGAACTGTGATAATGTGTGAAAATGCTGCGGCATAATTGAATACTGGCTAGTAAGTGTCATGAGCCAAGTTAAGTTTTTGACTTGGTCTCCTTCTACTCTGTTAAATAATGCACCAAATGGACCAACTTCAGCCTTACTGTAACGTAAGGGAAAGCTAATTTGTTGTTGAACCCTGTGTTGATGTTAGCACAGTGGCTGGGTGAGAAACCCATGGCTGAGAGCGCCCTCCATCTCCAAGCACAATTCTTGCCAGATAGCTTGGGTTAGCTGGGGGAGTTTGTTCCTGCTTACCAGGCCGTGATTCAGTTTCTCTTCTGTCTTCACCTGCTTTCCCCCAGCAACAACCCCACCAGCACCAACCACACGTCAGACACCGAGAGAACCCTTGCTCCTTCGGGTGCGCAGAGTAAGCAGCAATACTTGCTGCCATCAGCCAGGCTGCAGCATGCTGCTGGAAAGTTTAATTTTTACTTGTGGGACATGCCTGTCAGAGTGAGGTGTTCACTTCTTGTGTATTTGGGGGTAGTTCTGCTGAACTACAGTTCTCTTCTGAGAGAGCGAAAAGGGGTGTCATAAAACAGGCATATGGCAAAATGCAATGTTCACATATCCCTGGGATTTTTAGCACTTGCCAGGTTTTTATTACCTATTGTTTGTTTAGCTGTAGTGCTTGTTAGACATAATCTCTTTTCTACCATAGTGCAAATTTCTAGCTGAAATTGCATGCATATGAGCTACCTGTGCCCTGTCCATGTCTTTGATAAAATTACTTGGTACACAGAGAAAATCAACTCAGCTCTTCGAGCTGATCAGAACTGAGAAATCGGGGGGAAATGAGGTTAGTCACTGAATAACATACTCTGAAAAGTTTTAAAAAATATTAGAAAAGCAATTTTTTTTCTAATGGGATTATTTGTGACCATCTGATCATGCCCATCACCATGTGACATTCTGGGTGTCTCATGTGTATAAAGTTTCCTTTGGCTGTGGTCTTGGGCGCCACAAGTATGTTACCGATATGTGTCACGACAAATGACTCATCTGGTCACTGGTATATTTTGTGCAGGTGGAGGCTCCATAGTTGGCCTCTTGTCAGACCTTTGCAAGCACTACTCTTCACGGTCTTTATATACGTTAGGGCATGACCTAAGGCATAGGAGCTTTCCTGTTAGAGGATGTAAGCTCAGGGTTTAATTCACTAAGCTGAGTGACTCCCCTGTTTTTAAGATGCCACTAAACATTGGGTTATTCCTGTGACAGATCAGGTGCTCCAAATACTTCAATACTTCAGTGCTTTGTAGCATGAGGTCATGATGAGCAAAAGCCCAAGCCTAGATCAACGTTTTTTGGCTTTAAATTCCCTAGCAAAAGAGAGTAGGATCATAGGATAACAGCAGAACATTTTGCTGCAAGCCTTCTTGAGCATTTATTCAGTTCATCCCTATTTCCAAAGCTTAGAAAACTAGAAGTGAATTATTCTTAATATCCCTAGATAGAAAAAAAAAAGCATCATCTTCATAGAGCTTTCTTAAATCTATGGTAAGTTATCTGACTGTAAAGATGTTTTCTGTGGTTGTCAGTACTAATGCAGCTTTCAAAAACTGCAATCACACAGAAGTCTGACCACAGTTGAGGCAGTACCTCCACTTAGACTTGTACCTTGTTTACTACCCCTGCTCTCTATGACATTGTGTCATGCTTACTGCAGTGAAAACTCCTTCGCAGCAGACAGAGTTCTACTCTTGCTTCATGGGCTACCCCTGGGAAGCCTCCTCTTTCCTTGATAAAGACTGGCATTTCCCAATGACTGCCTGATACACCATTTGTGGCCAAAACAGATTGTTCCCTTTTGGTTGCAAGGTGCTTTATTTCTCCTCTTCAGGGCCAGATTTTGCCTTCCTCATTGCCTGAGAGTTCATGATTCCTTGATTAAAGCAGTGACAACCAGAACAGCTTTCACCCCTTCAGGTGACTGTGCTATTAATAATTTCAATTTCTTATTTTCAGGGATTTCAGAAAGTCCCGATGACAAGGCTGAGAACCTTGATGATAACAGACATAAGGTAAAATTTGCTCTAAGTTTCAAGAGTGTTTAGAAGCCAGAGGGAGAGCAGGGCGTGCTAGTGACTTTCAGTGTATTCATACTAAAGGGACAGTGTTTGCAAACAGTAGCTTGAATTTTTGTTTAGAAGCTCAGGAACCACCTATTCATCTTTCCAGTGGATAGAGCCAAAGCCTGTGGCGATTCCATGTTTCTTGGACACTTTAGAAAAACCTCTTTCCCCTGACAACCCTGTGAGACAGGCAGAGGTAGCATCCTCTGGGTGTGACCAGGCAAAAGGCAATTTAGGAGGGTTGTTACGCTTCCCTGTCTCTAATTAAGAGAAGGATGAGGGTGACTAAGCTTCTTTAGACACCTTATTGAGAAGTTCAGGTTAAGTGGGATGAATCTAAGCGCAAATGCTTCACAAGAAGATTTATTAAATACCCAACAGGTAATTCACGTTGTTTATCATGATAAACCTGGTATGTCTTCTCCATACTTTGTACGGGCAATCTCGGAAAAGCGTTGCAAACTCCAGCCCAACGCGGATATTTCAGTAGGGCAACCCACTCCCGTGTAAACAGGTCTGAAGTAAACATGCTTCTAAAGACTTTTCAGTTTTTCTTTTCTCCCTTCCAGCTTCCCATCTATGCCTTTCTCATTGCCTGTCTCATAGTGATGCCCATCCTTTTCATATTGATACCTTCATTGCTTTTTTTTTGGAAACGTAAGTATTCCTAAGCACATAATTGAGTAATGTTTCCAAAGCTGGCCTAGTGCAAATGTCCTTCTGTATCTCTGGTTAATCTTCCGGTAAATTAGCCATGGCCCCTGTGACAGCACTCTCTTCATTTTGTGGGGGTTGCTGTTCTTACTCCAGGACTGGGTCACCATGAGGAGACCAGGGAGCATGAGTTGGTGGGGATGTAGCAGGAGGAAGCCTGTGCAAAGAAGCTATCCGCTGATTGGTTGCAGGTCTGGCTCATATTGTTGGCTCTTGCTCTATGGTAAAGTGATCCTGTAGATTCCTGGAATTGCTCCTGACAGACATTGGTGTAACTTAAATCAGAATGAGATCCTTTCTTTCCTGCTTAGCCCACAGATATTTTGCAACTTGCTATCTTTGCTTCTGAACTCATTTGAATGATTAATTAGAATTATAGATTTCTTTTTGCCTTTGTGACATTAATATTCCTTCGCTTCTAGGTAAACACACACAGAAGTTTATAATAAAAAGGTAATCCATTTTGTCATTTCCTATTAAACGTTCCAATGTAATTTTTCTTAGAGGCAGTAAGGTACTGGCAGTTGACTGTAATGGGTATAATGGCTTGTGGTGCTGACTACCGCAGTTGTATTATGAGCAAGCTTCAGGTAACTTCACCCCAGACAATCAAACAGTGGCTCCTGGGTACTGCAGCTATGTAGCAATGAACAGACATCCAGAGCACTGGAGAACTTCAGCAACTGGCACTTCCTGTTACGTACTGACCCCAGCACCTAGTCTGCTTTATTCTTTGATCAAATAGCAGGGCATGGCCCTGCTGGGGTTATTTTACAGAAATAAAGAGAGAAATGGTTTTGGTGATCAACTGGCAAAATGATTGCTCAGAGAGGGATCAGGGATATATGGACAGTCCTCCATGGAGTGGCAATTCATGCCAGTACCCAAAGAATGGGGCCTATGAACGGGGGGAGGGCACTGGAGGGTGTGCAAACCAAGCTTTCCACAACAAGATAAACCTTGCAGCTCTCATGAGGCCACTGCACCCTCTCACACACTCCTTGGGTCACACTGAAGTATCTGAGGTGATCACTGAGTTGATTCTTTGGAGACAGATATGAAAGTATGATGAGTCACCCTCTGCAGGCGTAACCGTTAAGTTCACATCTTCTGGCTTTTCTTGAAAAAGGATGTTCTCTCAACAAACCACAGTGTAGTCCAGTGAAATATCATCCTTTTGCCAAAGACCAACAGGTTTTCAAAGGTAAATGGTCCCCTACTAGGAGACTGGGGGCAAAGGAGGGACTGTCTTTTGAATCCCATAGCAGTTACCCTACAGCTGTCTTTGTAAGATATGAACAGCCCTTTCCTACCCATTAGAAAAATGCAAACACTTCTCTGGTGTAAAATATAGGCATCGCACCACTGAAGTCAGTGGACTCCAGCTTCTTGTCCCCGTTTGAATGGGAATTTGCTGATGTTACAAATAGGAAAGGATGCTCTGAAGCAGCAATGTGCTTTTGCCCCATCCACAGTGATCTATGCTTCTCACTACAGCCTTGGACCAGTGGAAGACCTTGAAAAAGTTTTCAGTGGCTCTGAAGGAGAAAACAACATTTTTTCTCTATGAAGAGCTCCTACATCATCTGTAGATGCCATGGAAAATAAAAAGGTCCTGTTTCATGCTGCACTGAGAGATGCTTATGAACCCTCAAAATACCAGTGGTTGTAAACCAAAGGCCAAAGCTTCAACTGTGAAAATTTAAAATCTTTGTGCAAAATTTGCCATGTCATCTTTAAAACTCATGGCATAAAGAGGCTTCTTTGAGAAGGTGTTTTTTGTATTATTCATAGGTGTTTCTGGCATCCGCCTTCTTACTAATACCATGTTACAGAACTGAATTTGTTTTTCCTCTTTTTTTACTAACGCTGTTCCTTGAATACAACTTATGCTGTGAGGAACAGGAGAGAAGAAATAACATGAAATGCTGCCTAACTTCAAATTGCCAAGAAAAATAAAAAGAAAAGAAAAGAAAAATCAGCAAATACAATTCTTACTGCTTTTATATAATCAAGACAAAAATTACACCACAAGAATGCTGCGAGTATAGATTCAAAATGCAGATTACTTAAGGGGTACCAATGCTGCCTGTGATTCAGCATGTTCAAACAACCCCTGGAGACTATGTTAATAAACTCTGCAATTTACCACTAGCAATTGTATTTTTTATGCCACATCCTAAGGCACTTGAACAGTAGTTAGTTATTCCCCAGATGCTGAAATGACTAGTGTGCTGTATCAGCTCTCCAAAGAAGTACTGCAGCATTTTCAGAGGTGGGAAAATGCCCAGAAGATCAACCTGCAGGGAAATTTTTCTATCCTTCCCCCACAAACCCCTATACCACTCACTTGTAAATCTATGTCTCCCCCATCAAAGTGCATGGGGGATCTCCAGTTGTTTGTTTGGCTTTGCCTTTTGGTCCTCACGACAGTGACCTGCAAAAAGAAGCAGCTCTCGTGATTAGCAACACAGACCCACACCAAGCAGCCCCAGAGTGCTTCATTTAGGGTCCCAGAACCCACTCATGGGGTAGCATAGTGCGGTCTGGCTGGGTTTTGGATGGATGAGACTGGGGTGCCCAGTCCCACCAGTGCTACCCATGTATCTCTTAGAGAAGTTGCAGGGGAGAAGTACAACACAGACCACAGCCACATCTTGAGAACTTGGCTGTTCCTTCAGGTGCCCATGGGAGGTGGGTGAAGCCACCTCAGTGTTTCTGAGCAGCGTAGACAAAAATCCTGCAATCTGCATGGAAAGGTTCTGGGGACTCTAAAAACAGTGAAGAAGAGATGAAGGGTGACATTCACCTGCTGCTGCTTCTAGTGGGACAGAAGGGCTGTGGGGGACAAAGTTGCTGCTGCCAGGGACAGATTTTGTCCCCAGTCCTTCCCTGCAGCAACAAGCTGCCCCCACACTCCTACCCCACCCTCAGGGGCACTGGCAGGAACTGCTATCCCTGTTCCCAAGACTTTGGTGTTGTAGAGCTGGCAAGCTGTGGCTGTTCAGCTGCTCAAGAGATATCCCTGTGTTGTGCTTAGAGCTGACCCTGAGGATGGGGATAGTTTGGGCTGCGTGGGCACATGTGTGGTTTGCAGAGGGGAGCAGCTCACCTTCCCACTATGGACCTTGCCTTGGCTCTGGGGTGCTTGATCCGGAGGCACGGCTGCCAGCAGCACAGAGCGGTCCACGGAAGTCTGAAATCCTCCCTGGTATCCTCAAGCCCTGTAAATGCTGACATAACAACAGCTCTGTAGCATTAACCTTGTCTTCTACTCTGTTGGGAAAACTCGATCCTCCAAGGGGTTTTGAGGCAGGTTGGCAACGCATGATGGGTCGGCAGTGGATGGCAGAGTGAAGCCCATCATTTCACCACACTAACTGCACCCTTCCTGAGGGGGCTTTTGCTTGTGTCTCAGCTGGGTTGAGATTTAGGCCTTAAAAACAGGAGTGAGCTGGTAACCAGCCTGGGGGCATTAGTGAAGTGGTACTGGCTATGGAGGCTGGGGGATCATTGACAGGATATGCTGCAGAGCTTTCATGTACGTCACTGGAGTCCTCACCAACTCTGCTGCAGTGACTGTGGGAATGGCATAGGAGGAGGTTCAAATCCACGATACTGTTATCCATATTGCCTGGAGTTCCTGCTACAGCAAGTCTGGGCAACGACACCTTGAAGTACAAGCTCATTGTGGGAATAGCATTTGATCAGAAGAAAACGTTGTGTGGCAGCTCTGGACTTCCCCACGAGTCACGCTCAGGGCTGTGGTGAGACTTTTTGACTCTACAGCATCTTCTCACAGGTCATGAGTTAGGGGCAGGCAGGGGAAGGTCCTCTTTGGGCTCCCACTCAGTCTCGCCTGGGTAAAGCACCCTGCTGCACACCCTGGTCCAGCAGCTCTGGGGGAGGCCGAAAAGAGTCCCTGAGCAGAGGATGTGACCCACAGGCTCCCAGCTGGTTTGCTCAGCTGAGACCTGTCTGCTCCATGCCGGTGAATGCGGCCGCCACCATCCCAACACACAGCACATGCTGTGCCAGGGGCTCTGGCACGCAACACTGCTTCTAAGCATGAATCCCACAAAAATCTGTAAGAAATAAAAGGGAAAGAAAAGAAAGCCAAACATTTTTCATGTACTCCTTTAAAAGAAAAAAAAAAGGCTATTTTTTTTCCTTTTCCCCCCACCCCCAAGTAAACCTGCTAATTAAGGCAGCAATATCTTCATTGCAACTTCCAATTGCCAGGGCTGGGCCAATCCTTTTGCTCATGTTAATTAGCCCTGCACTAATGACTTCTTTAGAGTAGGGCTGGCTCTTGCTGTGGAAGGTTGTAGCACATTTGCTGTGGTGCTGGCTGGACTTGAATGTTCTGCTTTGGGGAGCTGCGCAAGGGCAAAAGAAACAGGAGCCAACAAAGTGAGTTTGATCTGATCAGCCACGTGGAAATGCAGCCCAGAAATGCTACAGGGAAGCTGTAAGTGTAACTTATGTTGCTGAGGTTTTTTTATTTGTCTTTTTATCCACCCCAATTACTGAGGCTGAGATTTGGGGTTAGAGTGGCAATTGGAAGCAAGGAGTCTGGGAGGGTTATATTTAAATGAAAATACATTGAAGTAATTTCTGAGGACCTGACCCTGGCTGTCGGTATGTTCAGTGAAAGGTTAAAAGGAGCCTTTTAAAATGTATCTGGAAGAAAAATGCTGTTTTCCAAAAGCAACAGAAGCCCCAGAATGCAGTTTATGGGTCTAGTGAAGACAAACTGGATGAAAGCAGCAGGTTTTTAGAAAGAAAGGACTGTTGGAGGGTATGTCATTGGCATCTGGCAATGTTAGTCTTTTTTTTAAGACTTTAACCTTGGAAGGCAAAGAAGAAGGGCACTCGAGGAAACATAGAGCACTGCAGCAAGCAAAACCCTCCAGTAAGCAGAGTAGCTTTGCTACAACTTGTTGCTACCCATGGAGCTCACTGAAGCAGGTCTCCCTGCAAAGTCTGCCCACCTGCAGCTTCACCCTGCCCTCCTGAACCTCCCCAGGGGCTGCAAATGAGCAAACCCATTTGATTTAAAACTACTGTGCGTTTCCCAGAAAACTCCAGTCTGCCTCTTCCCAGGCCTTGCCTCCTGCCACGTCATGCAGCCAAGCGCTCACACCTGTGGGCAGCCTGCTCTAAGGCCTCTCCCAATGCTCTGAACTGCTGAAGTTCCTGCAGCATTTGTGGGCTTGCACTGGGAGCCTGTGGCCAGGGCGAAGCAGGTTTCAGCTTATTCAGAGTCCGTGTGAAGCCTGAATAGTGTTATATCTGGGGAGTCTGGCTCTGCTCTGCAGAGCAAGGTGGTTAATTAACAAAGGACTTTCAGCTTTTGGTCCAAGTAGTAACTGCCACCAGACCCCAGTGCTTTGTGGATGGTTTTCTGTATCAAAATGACTAATTATTTTGGGTAAAGGAGGTCTGACGTGAAGAGATAATGAGTGAGCTACCCAATTAGTATGGAAGAGGTACAGAAAAGCAATTAAAAAGGGAGATCTGAATATTTTGGGGCATGGGATTGGCTAATGAGAAAACAGGAGGAAATGCTCACAAAAAAAAAAGTCAAGGAATACAAACCTTTTAAAGAGAAACCGCAGGAATGAATTAAATATAATTTTGAGATTAATAAGAGACCTCTCAATAGACTTTATTGGAGCTGACTGCTCTGATGGTCCCTTTCCATCTCAGCAGCGCATTTCATTATGTTCCCAGGTTTGTTTCTTAGCCTTAATGTGCTTTTCTAGGTGTTTTTTAAGGTTAATATAAATAAATCTCTGGGTTCCAAAGGTGGAATCTAATTGGAGTTTAAGAAAGAGCAAGCAGAAGGGAAGAATGTGGCTGAGTACATAGGAAGTTAGAAATAAGAATAAATAGCATCATGGGACTTGGGGAAAGAACAGAGATAACTGCACAGTGTGAGATGAATACATGAAAAAGTGGAAAATTTTAGCCTGGTAGAGGAGAAGAGGGACGTGCTGCTGCAGACATGTCAGCAGATGGCAAAATCGAGCTACAGAAACAGAGCAGAGAAACAGCTGAAGGGGTTAGAGGCTGTAAAGGTGATGCAGATTTGCTGCCACCCAGCAGAATAATTGCAGTCTCTTCCAGTCGTGGTGGAGGTCCTGGCCGGTAGATCAGCTCATGGCTGACTCCAGGCATGCTTAGCCTGGACTTCAGCTTATGTGTCTTCTGGGAACACAATTTCCTCCAAGTCTCACTAACGCCCTGGTTTTCTTGTGCTCCTCAGGGACACAGTGGCAATGCACTTCTTGGTTTCCTCTCCCCACTGATGTCTAACCCCAACTGGGAGCAGTGTGCCTTTGGTTTCTCTTGCTAATTTGAAACATAAACCCCAAGACTCAGCACCTCCTGCCATCACACTGTGGCAGCTGTGACGTGGCAAAAGAAATGTTAACCTCTAACCACCCTGTAGATCATCTCAGCATCTGCTCCCTCCTGTGACTGAGCTCATGAGAAAGGGTGGAGGTCTTGTCAAGGGGTCCTCTGAATGATCGCTTTGGGGAGTGCTCAGAACTCAGAGAAACC